GGTCGAAATCGTACCAAACAGACAAAAAAGATTTAAATATTTTCGTTATCACCAACCCAGATACATCATCTTTGCGTAAACTGGATTTTTTCATTCGATATTACAAACAGACGCTCTAATTTTATTACATGTATAGATAGATAAAATACTTTTAATACCGAAATACTATCGTGGGTGGTAAAAAATACATGTTCACACTTGAGCGTACACCTTTGACTAAACTGTCGCGCAACGGTTGTGCGATTGTCGATTGTTTCGCAGCCAATTCAACTGTTCAGCACAACTAAAATCGAGTATGCGCTCAATATAAGCTTATAGGAATCAAAGCGAGACTAAACAGTTAAACGATAGTTTAGTCAAAAGCGTGCGCACTCTAAAATAATAATGTGTGTGTTATGTAAATTATTAATTTATAGAAACAAAAATGTATATTGTTAGACTAGTTACATATGTAAAGGTAATTATTACAATAGAGACCAAATTAAACATCGATAATACATTGATTTATTTGAAAGTTCAATCAAATTTACAAGAAAACAGTTAAGTTGGACGCCAAACAAGATTAACTATATACTAGTAACAATAAATACATTAACATCTAGCCTGGTCGTGGATAAACTAACGTAGATGCTACAGCCCGGTTGGGCGAAGGAGAACACCGCGGGGTTTAGTGGGTAGTCCGGCCGGGATTAAGGCCGGGAGTCCCACACGAAACTGTCCCTGCTGCCTCCGCAGCATGGACGGTAAAGTGCGTAAATGCATTCCCCGCGACAACAAAAAAAAAATCATTAACATCTAAATAACTTAATAGTGCGATGTAGAACAAAATTTGATTTAGTTCAAACGCTGATTACAACTTACGTGGAACATTACAAGCAGTCCGAAAAACTAAGCGCAGCGCATACATCACTTAGAGCTCACGCACACATTTGACTAAACTATCCACAGCTGTTTAATCCCGCTTTGATTCCTATGAGATGATTCATGTAAATGAAGGCGCGCATAATACTTCATTTTATTTATATGGACTGCCAATTCGACAATCGCATAACGGTTGTGCGATTATTTATTCAAACGTGTGCGCGCTCTTACTAACATTCCTATGTTGACAGTATTAAGTTAAATTTGTTACGTTTCTTACTATGGTTATCAATTATAAATAAGCGCCAATAATCTTGACTTGCGGTCGAGGGTTCGAATCCCGGCATATTATTGTCGTCAATTCTAGGACAAGCTTTTACAAACATACCTGGAATCGTTAAAAGGAATTTTAGTTAATCAACAAAAATCTGCTAATCAAAAAAACTAACAAATAGTTGTTGCATTAGTTTCGGTAAGTGCATATAAATCTCTGTCCGATGTAAACAGCACATTATTATCATTGTCAAAAACCATAGAACCAATACTAGGTAAATAAGCAACCCTACGTACATAAGATTCCGTTAAATTCTTTGCTATATTCACTTTATAAATACCATCAACCCACCAAGTGTACACAACATCATCCAAGTCAATAGTTAATCCTCTAAAAAACGGATTATTCGACAGAGAAACAGTTTCGTTCCTTTTAGTAGCAAACAAACCAAGAATACTCAAATAAACAATAACATCATTTTTAGTTATAACGAAATTTTTAATTTTATCACTTTCTAAATACGCTTCGAAATTGTCTCCTTTCTTTCTTGTTATCTTACTCTGTCCATTTATAACGAAATACACATTACCTTTGTAGAATACATTTTGTATTGAATCACCCCTCGAACTGAAAAACGCTAAGATGTTTTCTTTCGTTTCTAAAACGAAAATCCCATCGCTACCGCCTAAGTAAATGATTTCATTATTCTGATCCACATCAAATGTACCGAAATTCATTATTTTGTTACCCGAAATTATACCTTTTTCTTCTGGATTATCCAAACTTACAAACCCTATTTTATTGTATTCCAAATCTTCGAGTGCGGGTTCAAAACTGAAGTATAACACATTCCTGGATCTCAGTATTCCCATTTTGTGTATCACTATAGTGTTTCTAAACGGCGCATCTAGTTCCAACAAATGTGTTATGTTGTAACAAGCTGTATTCACTTTGATGCAAGTCCTACATTTATGTACAACGCCGCTTGTAACAAATGATATCGTTAAAAATATCACACTTGCGAACAGCATACTTGCAGATACTGCGCCTGAAAAAAAAGAATAGCAATTTTCTTGTTATACAATAAATTCTAACCTAAAAACATAAATAAATTGAGCAACAGTTTGAACACAATTTGATCAATTATGTATTTATTAGACTCTAATATTAACATACAAATAAAATGTGACTTTTAATTAGTGTGTACTTCCATACGAACCCCAAGATACTAGTTAGTTTAGATGACCTAGATTGCAAAGCGAGTTAATTTAACATTAAAGGAGCGTAGTGACAAACAAACCGGGCCACGTGTGATCAATAACATTCAGACACGCGAGCTAATGTAATATTTAATAAGGCTACCAACGTTTAACTGAATGACGTCAGATTCTACGTCAAAGGTCTTTTAAAAATAAGAAAATTGAATCAGTTCATTGAAGTTAACTGTTAGTTGAACTGTTCAGTTAAAGTTGTAACAACATACGCAGAGGTTAAACTTTTTTTATCTAACATAAGGTGGCAAACGAGCAGGCCACTTAAATCTACCGAAATGGCAAGCGACCGCTGCCCATAAACATCCGCAAGTACCTACAGATGCCTTGCCTACCCTTAATTGTTGGAGGAGACGCACATAAAGTGGATATTTTTCCTTCCTATGCGTCTTCTTCACCATCAAATCCACTTTTCCTTCCCATCCTTCCCTCTTAAAAAAAGGGTGGAAAGGGAAAGGGGCTAAAATTAGGCCTCTGGCACCACACTTATCAGACGAAACGCGGTATTGCTTCCACTTCACGCCTGTTTTCTATGCGAAAGCACCGGGCGAGACGGCCCATTCGTGCGAAGATGTTAAAGCGGGCTCTACCACTGTTAAACTTGAACTGGGCAGTTCGACTATCCAATTAATAGTGTCAAACCTATCTCTTTCGAGGTAATAAAAAACAAATAACAATAATCAGTGATTATTTTGTTTTTTCCTGATGAAAGAATTTTTAAAACCAATCCAGAAGGTCTTGAGTTTATTGATAACAAATATAAAAATCTTTTCACCTAATATTAGTACAAACAACAAAAATAGAGACAATTGGAAGTTTTAATCGGGGTTTAATCCGTGAACAAAGAAAACAATTGTACGAAATCCCACCCTTGTCCCCCTACCCCCTACTACTGGAATTAACTTGAAGACAATGCAAGTAGGGGCGACTAATCCCTAACTAAGCTTAAGAACATAAACAAACCCTTAATGTTATTACACTCATTGAAGCAACCCTTGTCCAGTTACAGCCCTTACTTAATTTGTTTCATGTTAATTATTTAAATTTCTTTTTTTATCTATATCTATACCTACTAATATTACAAAGAGGACAGATTTGTATATTTTGATATTATAGGTATTAAAAAAATCAAAAACGACTCAGATATTAATAATGCTTACACCATTAAAAAGCTAATTTATAACTGAGTGACATAAGCTATATTATTTTACTATGTTCTTATTCCACATAGACGGACCGAGCTATTGAAAAATATTAAAACACCAAAAAAAATAACTAACCAAATGAATTCATGATTTCATCCAGTCACATTCCAACTGCACTATTTAATAATAAATTAACAGTAAATAAACAACACTGGGCAGTAGAGCGTACTACCTCGCATCGCGTCGTCTAGTGCTGTGCCCAGTACTAGTGACAAAACTATTACGAATAGAGGACATAGACATACATGGAGAGGTATACAAAATATACTTTTTAACTAAAAAAACTGATTTTTTTAAGCTTATATGGAGGTGCGCACACTACTCGTTTTTTAATTGTGCAACTAAACAGTTGAATTAGCTGCGAAACAACCGATAATCGCAGAACCGATGTGCGATAGTTTAGTCAAAGGTGTACATCCGCTCTAAATGTTAAAATCTTAAAAGCTTTTATATGCAAATTAAGTTCATACTATTACAATAAAGTCAGAAAAAAATCAAATCAATATGCAATTATTTTTTGTCTATTACCAGTAATACTGTTTGATTTTTTACATATTTTTATTTATCCTAAATTAAGTTATGTCTCTAAAGGTTTTAAACATTATCTTCAGAAGTATAGTGGTAGTTAGGAGCACAGAAATAAAAAAAATAAACAATACGATAAAATATAGCCAGCTCTACTCATTGCTCTGTTCTGCCCAGTGAGCGTATCCATCGGGTGGAAGCGAAGGTGATATACATTATTCAGCCTATAATTTAATGAAAACGTAATGAAAATCGCTGTCGCGTGACGTCATTCAGGAAATGACCACAATGGACCGACACTGATGCCGGTAATGACCTCAAACCTACTGACTCACACTCTCGTTGTTTTAGTTTAATTAAAAAGCTACACTATGTTAGTCAGGATCATATAATCACCACTATGCTACTCAGGGGATCGGAGTCTACCCTAAGTTAGGGTGACTAGGGCATAGTCAACCACACTGGCCCACTGCTGGTTGGTGACACAATATCTGAATTTCTTCGCCTATAAGTACAGATTGCAGAGAATCTAAATTCATGTAAATTGTTATATTTCTTCTATAGATACGTTTTTGTAACGCTACCTTGCTATTTATATTAAGTAAATGCTAGATGCTGTTAAGTTAATGTATACGTAGATGAAACGAGAGAGGTTGTACCCTCAAATGGAGGTCCATGGTCTACCTACCCTAGATTACAAGCATGAGTTATTTTGCTATTTAAATTTACTTGCTTTCCTCTATAACTCCGTCCGCGTGGTTTTAAAAACAAAAGTATGCTCAAGTGTTCTTCCAGACTATATCCTACATCTATGAAATACATCGTGATCAGTTCAGTACTAATATGATTCACTGTTCATGTTTAAATTGATGTATGGTGGTTAGAGTTTATAACCTAAAGGATAATAAAGGCTACAAACTCTAACATCCATTTAAACTCTCGCATTTATAATATTTCGAAGTTTTTATTACGATGTTTCGCTTCGCACTTACTGTTTCCCTGACCATGAATCACAAATCATTGTAACCGTGAGCATTGCTCGTCGCGTTGCAGTCATACTAAAGATCTAGACTAGATAAGGTCTAGGCTAGGATATTACATCTAACCCACACTCACTCTCTGACTCAACTGTAATTTGTTATCTTGTACGGCAAGTTCACAGTACACTGGTTTATACACATACTAGCTTTAGCCCGCGACTCCGTCCGCGTGGAATTGAAAATAACAAAACTGAGTAGCCTATGTGTTCTTCCAGACTATATTCTACATGTTTACCAATTTTCATCAAAATCCGTTCAGCCGTTTAGGCTACAAACCCTAACAATATCCATGCATCTAAACTTTCGCATTTATAATATTAGTATGATGTTTTATTCAAGTATATTGACAAAAGGCCACTTATATTCTCGCTGGAATAGAGAAAGTATAGAAAAGAATGCTTTAATACAATTATTGAAGGTTACACCCATTCGCACGGGTGCATTTTTAACGCTCGCCGTTGGCGCGTAAAAAATACATATAAAACGTCACGTTTTAAAAACGCTGCCGTATAAATAGATATGTTATTGCATTTGTGTAATTTCGATGCCTTTTAACGCGTAAAACGCCAGTGCGAATTAGACCTCAGAAATGTTAATATCTTTTACTATAAAAACCTTAGTATAGTTCAATCAGATGTACAGTTAAAACCAACATATCGATTTACAGTAATTTACTTATATTCAACAAGTAAAACCAAATACACACATTGCAATGTTCAGAAGCCAGTGCTGTCGTTCTAAAGTTTAGAATCTAAACACCGATCGAGAATCCTCCAGCTGTTTATTTACTACATACAAGAGCAAATCCTCAGATACGACTTCCACACTTTGACTTTAAAGAGACAGGATCTAGCAAGCGCGTGTTACCATCGCATAAATAAAAATAAATCATAAGTCAATAACACGCTCTTTTGTTTTGTGTCTACAAAGAAATCCCTTGGCAAATTGGCAGAATACGTTTAACACAGAACACTGGATTTTTACCTAGTCCGTTTCATGATAGTCAAAGTTTATACCAAAGTGCATCCTCTTGTGTTCAAACTACGTAGGACTTTTTGCGTTCTACGATCACAGAGAATACCGAAGTAACTGTATTTTTTTAAATGTATACCTTATGACTATGGTGTAAGGTTTTAATTCGAGTATATCATCTTATTTTTGACTACCGTTATTCACGTCAGTAGACTAAAACATTGCCACAGATTCGGTAAGTGTGGCTTTAAACTTGAATACTTTGTACAAAATGTAAAAGGAAGTCAAATGTGTACTGATTTTTAGTATTATTTATAACCTTGTTAGTTCTAAAAACAGGCGCATTTCTTTGACTAAACTATCGCACAACTATTGTGCGGTTGTCGATTGTTTCGCAGCCAGTCGATTGTTTAGTTAGATATAAGCTCACGGGAATCAACAAGAGACTAAACAGTTGTGCGATAGTTTGCTTTGGTTTGCTCGCCCTAAATATTAGAAATCAGCTATAATCACTATAAACAAACTTAAAACTGTATAATATTAAAACATTTTATTTAACAATTTTTCAGAAAAAAATTATATTGACTGACAAGAGCTGTAAATGCATGCTAAAAAATCTGCTATTACAAGCACTTGAAGTGGCATTAAAACCTCTACGGTGATAACGAGGTAATTTTGATGTTATTCAGCAACAAAACCAAGTTAATAAGGCCCTCATCACACGATCCGGTAATTGCCGCGATGCGCCACTCGCGTTCGGCTTTAAAGCTTGCGGGCAGACGAAAGCTAGGCGAAGCTATAATATGCATTTATTAATCCAGCGAACCATTCAGCCCACGCGAAACATCTTACTTCTTTCAAATGTTATAAATGCGTAAGTTTAGATGGATGTTTGTTAGAGTTTGTAGCCTAAACGGCGGAATGGATCTCGATGAAGTTTGGTATAGATGTAGAGGATAGTCTGGAATAAGTTTTGAGTCGCGGGCGAAAGCTAGTATAATATAGATCGTTTAACGTTTTTTTTTTTTTAATGTCTCGATGTATTCTAGTTTACAGTTTGTTTAGATTTCAGTTCGCTTTCTGTGTGTTGCAGACATTAAAATATCTTTTCACGTACGACCCAGTTACCAAGTTTTTTACACTGTGTTAAAATTTTTCAGCTGCGCCTTACAACCAAGTTTCAATGCTACGTGACCAGACTTTACTTGATTATATTTTATATTAATACTAGCTTTCGCCCGCGACTGCGTCCGCGTGGAATAAAAAAAACCTAAAGTGTCCATGTGTTCTTCCAGACTATCCTCTACAGCTATACCAAATTTCATTGAAATTCGTTCAGCCGTTTAGGCTACAAACTCTAACAAACATCTATCACTCCTACTAAACTTTCACATTTATAATATTAGTATGATACAAAACAACCAACGCTGACTTCGATCGACTCTTCAATTTTGCATTTCGCGTTGTCGACTATAGCCAAAAACTGTAGTGTAATAGAGTAGATACAGTAACTTATGAAATCAGAATTTACATTTACAGAACATTTACTTCCAACAGGCATTTGATCTATGTATTTCCAAATTAGAAAGGCAATTTATCAGCGTCGGTGGCTCAGTGGTTTAAGCACTTGACTTGTAATCTACAGGTCTTGGGTTCGAATCCCGCCATGTAACAATGTGATGTTCGTTTTTTCGAATTTTCATATGTACATAATTAACCCGACGTTCTTACGGTGAAGGAAAACATCGTGATGCCTGCACATATCGGCGAAGAAATTCAAAGATATGTGTGAAGTCAACCAACCCGCACTTGGCTAGCGTGGTTTACTATGGCCTAGTCACCCCTTATTAGGCTAGGCTTCGAGCCCCTCGGTGGGGACATGTAGTGAGCTAGTGATGGATGGATGGATGGAATTTATCAGCGGGTAGCATAGGCTATATTTTATAATTTCACGTGGACGAAGTCACGAGCAACAGCTAATATCTATACTAATATTATAAAGAGGAAAGTTTTATATATTTGTATGTGTTAAGATAACTGCAAAACTACTGGGCAGATTTTAAAAATTCTTTCATCATTAGAAAGGTAATTTATCTGTGCGTAACATAGGCTATATTTTTTATTTTAAGCGAGCGAAGTCGCGAGCTACATGTATTTGAAAAGATGGTAAATGTTACCGGAGTCCAGTACTTACCACGCAACAAATGACCCATCGTCCATCATCCACCCTCCTTTGATATTCGACTGCGTATAAATCCTGCCCGGAGTTTTCCTCGTGATCTATCACGTTTCTTTTGTATATTTAAACAGTAATAACCAAAGGCTAAGCGGTCTTGTATTTCGAAGGTAATTCGTAAGAAAAAATCATAAAAGTATCATATTTCAATACTTCTGGGGTAAAATATCAAATTTTCAGTCAGAGCTTTTTAAACCTTCTTTAGCTTAAAATTTGAAATTCCTAATTAATCTTAAATGAGATTGTCTAGATAGATGGATGTTTCTTAAAGTTTGTAGCCTAAACTGCTAAAAGGTTCCTAATAAAATTTGGTACAGATATATAGCATAGTCTGGAAGAACACATAGGTTATTCATTTTTGTTTCTTTTTAATTAAACACGGACGGAGTCGCGGGCG